GTGGAGACTAATGTATTTTAGGTAATAAAGATCTTTTATTACATATGTGTGTTTCAAATAGAGTCAAATGTTAAATTAGCTATCGCTAAGAATTGAAATTGTATTTATGATAACTAAGTTAGTATCTTCATATTAGTCAGAAGAGATTTGCAATGACAAAAATGTCTTTGTATACCTTCATGAACGACAATCAAAGCTATATATGATAAATTTTTGAAGCTGATGCAGCATAATGAAGTGAACGATGCATTTTATTTAGACAATTCACTACTGTCTTGACAAAAGGTTCGACGATCTGTGAAGTAAAAGAGATAAACTCATCTCATGAACTTTACAATGACCTAACTTGGCATCATTAAATGTCTTTTGATGAGAACATATCAAAGCAAACATCTATAAAACAACTATTTAAGATCTGGATGATTGAGGAACCTGGATAGTGTCAAAAATTGAAGTTGTCGAAAAGAAATGCTGCATAATGTTTTCTGGAAATAGACAAAAAAGGCAACTTTTTTCTTTTACGATGCATAGCGGCAACTTTGAGCAGTGCTGCTGAAGTTCATTCATACCAATAATAACTCGACGAACTTATTTAATTTATAAAAAATATTAGTTAATGAAACTCAATTAATCATGAATTTATACAAAATTACTTTTGGAAAAGAACTTTAGAGATCTCTACAGTTAACTAACTAGCTAACCCTTCATCTATCTAACTGTTTACGGCACTCGCTATCTTACTGTATACTTATCTAGCTAGTTAATAAGCTTTATCCTTACTTACCTTTTTATCTATCAATCTGGCTATGTATGCAACTAACTATGTATTGATCTACTGATATATATCTACCTATCCTCTGCTCAGAGTAAAAGAATATGCATAAAAGAATATATTCCACAAGAATAAAAGTGAGAGAAAACAATCTAGATCTTTAAGACGAAAAGCAAAAATAGATTAAGAGTGAAATAGACGAGTTAAAAATTAAATCATGTAAATGAAAAATTAACGGGGAAACTTGTGACATTACATGAAAGTTTGAAATGTATGATGTTGATCAGATAGCAAGGCAAGAAAAAAGGTATGAAGTTTCATATTTGTCATAGACTTTTTATTCTGGCTGAGAAAGAATCGAACTCATGTGTGAGAGAGAAAGACAAATAGATTCAATTTCAAGTGCGAGAATGTTGTCTTTGTAATCTCTTCTTTTTCTCCTCGCTTTTACAGCCGATTATCATGATTGTAAGTATAAGAGGAAACTGAGTAAACTTAGACTATTTGATACAGATAAGAATTATTTCATGAACGTGACCCTGAAGAAAAATAAATTGCAGAAAATTTTGCTATAATGAGATTGGACACATTGTAAATATTGAACGTGAAGTTTCAATTATCAAAAACTCGATATACAATGATGAAACATGAAACAAGGTACTTCTTCACATTAACTACAGTGGACGTCATAAGTCTCGCACCACCTTTTTGTTTTGGGTCGCATTTCACAATAGAATGGAAGTTTTTCAAAATTTTTCTGTTCATTCGATAGAGCATCTCAAGTACTACAAATATTTATCTAATTGCTGTGTTCAGCTCTTGAACATAAAAAAATAAGAAACAAAACAAACTTCGAGACTACTGGAAAAATTTCATAAAAAAAGACAAGTTGATATTTTTGTTTTTTGTTGATGGAGAATGATCATGATTTGAAGGAGCGGGGAAATCGTTGTATATATTTCGTCTTCTTGTGATACCACAATGATTGTAATAATGTTTAATGTTTCTTTTTGTTGTAGCAAACCATTCGTTCTTCATTGTCGTAACTACAGTTTCTTTAGTAAGAAAAGGATGCTGTCTAATCCGTCCTTTCCATTTGTGGAACAAAGCATTGTCTAATGGATTGATTCGTTTCGCTGCTTGAGAAGGTATAATCAGTATATGTATCGAGTCTGTACCTAAACCATTATGAAATGCTTGTTTTATCTTCGAAATACTGTGAATATTCGATTTGGCTAGTACAAGATATTTCGGGAAAAGATCAAGTGCATTTATTGCAGTATACAAAATGTTTTCGATGAAATCGATCAAAATTTGACTATTGATTCCTTTGACCTGTTTTGTTTTTCTATCTTTTGGTGAATATACGATTGATGGCAGCCCTTTATCACCAATAATGGCAGCAATCATGTCAAAACGAGCAGCATATGATGATGAATCAGTAACAACGACATACGGCATTTCTCCTAGGGCTATTAGAGTTGTTTTTGGCGCTTCGTTGATTTTGATATGAGTTTCATCGAGGAAAATAATTTTTTATTAGAAACTCGTTGAAGCCTACGCCGTAATGTTGCTATTTCATCACAAGCGGATTCACCCACTAAATTTAAAATTGTTAAAAAAAATTCAGGGAAACAACGGAATGGTGAAAGGGAAGCGATTGAATACGAATGAATACATGTCTCTATACTCACACTCTTTATGGGAACGTTTAATTGTTCTCCTGTGCTTAATGCCGCTTTTTTCTCATATCTTTGAATTGTTCTGAGAGAAAGATTAGTATTTGTTTTCTCACGAACGGATTTTACGAATTTTGCATAGTTGATAGGACATGAAAGACGATTATGAGAACGAATAACCTTCTTAATGAATTTATTAATTTTTTTTTGTTTAATATTGGTGGTCGCTCTGATTGATGATGATGTTGTAACGATGAAACAATGCCATTGTATCGATCATACCACCGCTTCACCGTTTTATGACCACCTGAGATATGGAAAAGATTAGCAACAGAACGGAAACTGAGATTCAGCTGATTTAGAATATAATAATCGATGACACGTTTCTTAAAGGAAGGTTCATAATATCGAGATGAATCGCTCATAATCTGATATTTAATAATCAATCGATATAACTTCTTTTGATCAGATGTGATGGTTTTTCGAAAATACTACGGAAACAAAGCGAATAGATTATCAACCGTTATTTGGTATCGACCAATAGCTGAGTTTATCGTTAGTTTAAGCCACCCCCCCCGTCAGAAAAGTCAACTTTTCAAGAAAAACTCGATTTTCAGATTTATACATATTCTGAGAGCCCTTGTAATGAACTACAACCTAGCATAATTTGTTTTGCCAAAACGTGTATTTTTGTCTTTCTTCTGACAAATTTTTTTTTCTGAAGATGTGTTACTGAGGCATAAAGTGTGTTTCATAATAACTGAGAATACAGTGTTAATGATATTTTTCATACTTTTGTTCGACCGATAGAGTTGAAATTTTTACGACATATAGAACTAATCAGGATCTTCTCGTTGTGAAAATTTCAGCTCTCTCGCTATGACTAACGGTAAAATACATCGATCAAAGTGAAGTACATAAGTTTTCGTACTCGATTCAATCGAGTACGAAAACTTATGTATTTTACCATTAGTCACAGTTAGAGAGCTGAAACTTTCAGAACTAAAAGATCTTGATTAGCTATATACGCCATAAAAATTTCAGCTCTCTTGGTCAAACAGAAGAATGAAAATATCATTAACGAAAAAGTTGATAAAAACATATGTAACATGAAGTGACATCTATGTATAAGGAACCATGACCACAATTTAGGCATGATATGTACCTCTAACCGTACTATGATGTATCCACATACATGCCATCAATACAGCTTGAGGAATAGTGCGAAAATATTAGGTAGATAAGCAGATTTGTTTCGAATACAGACACTTACTGCATCAAAAACTTTTTTTTTTCGTTTTTCTCAAAATTGATTTTTTCGAGCATACTGTTTACGCGGGCAAGGTTTTTTTAATAATGACTCAATAGAGAAGTGATAATTTTTTAATCAACAGATCGAATTTCATACGCTCTTTTAAATATTTCGGTGTCACAATCACACAAAAACTTGGTTGGGGAAGTTATATAGACAACAAACTCAGCAAAATCGGAAAAACTTATAATGCAATGAAAACGCTTTTTCATAATATCCCTAAAAAAGAAATGTCCCTCAGACGCAGAATATTCCTAGCTTTCTCTCTTCCTCATTTTATTTGGTTAATAACAACCTGGTTCTTTTTTTCGGAAAATCAAAAACAAAAAATAAATAAAACTTACATTGTAGGATTAAAAATAGTTTACGGACTTTATGGTTGGGATGATTTTACAACACTAATTCTATGTCAAGAAAAAACCCTACAAGATTACATTTATTCATATTGGTCAAAATTCTCACTTCATCTAGAAAGATCTCTCGAAGCAACATCATATCAATATACATGGACAGCTTTTCAAACATTAACCACACTTGATAAGTCACAATATAAGATCCTAGGTTAAAGAAAAAATAATAAGTTCTTAAATGGACTAGTTGAGAGAGTAAAACATAGCAAAAATGATTGGTTACAGTTTAAATTAAATCATGTACCGCAACATGAAATATTTAGGAAATCAACATACTACTTGAATATGTTTATTTATAAATATTTTTTACTTCCACCACCTTAATATCTGAACGTGAATGTATTTCTATTAGACNACATAAACAAGCAGCTTTATTGAAATTTTTTTATTATGATCTTAGTTGAAGGATGATCAAAATATCATAGAAAAATATAACTTTGCTTTTGCTATCCAGACTATGTCGAGAGAAAATTTCTTCAAGCTTTGCATAAGGAATTAAAGTATGTCCTCCACTACTTTTCGATTGCCTTAAGTAAATATTTTGAATTATGACATTATTCTATATCGTGTTTAATAATTATATATCTAGTAAAGCAACACAAAACTCGATATCTTTTGAATAAACAAAGTTGTTTTCTCAACTATCTGATTGTTTGATAACGTTATCAGTCTATTGGATGAATCAGATTAAAAAAATGAGCATAGTTCTTGAACTCTATAATGCATAACCATGTAGCACTCTTTTATTTGAAATAAAATATACGTATGGTCTTTCATATAACTTTCTTCGTAACAAAAGAGTTTTATAGAGTTGAAAACTTATTTTCTTAAGGTAAAACAGTACAATAAGCATCGTTGGTACCCATAATTGTGTGATCACAATGTTTTGGTTCGAATACTTTACATTTGTCTTTACATGCTTTAGCTACGCAGGTTGTATCAACAAATGATTGAAGAAAAATTGGTTTACAACGAAGACCAGAGCAACATGAACAAACACATGATAATACACTACTTGGAGTTGTACCACTTGGACGACTAGTTGTTCGACCTGTTGTTCGACCAGTTGTTTTGACAGTTGAAAAGAATTGACCATAAGTAGCAGCCAAACAAAGAGCAAACAGGCACGAAACAAATAGTAAATAATTCATGATCTAAACAAGAAGAAAATATCTAAGTTTGTGTGCAAGTATAATATATTTGTTCTAATATCTAAAATCTTCGAATAGGAAAAGTCGTCGAAATGGATACTATTAACCTTTTGACAGCAAAGTTATTTTACAAGAAATAAAGTAAAATATTATTGTTTACATGATGGATTTTGAAAACCTTTAGCAATCATTATTCTTGCACTAAGGCTTAGTTTAAAGATGTGATGGTGTTACCAGTGGTATCTATGTCAGAGAAGAGCGAAATTTCAGAAAAAGTTTCGTTTACTATATCTCGGTTTTACATTTTCTTTTTATTTCGAAAACGTAAGTTTAGGAGCTTCTTTGTGAAAGGAAGCCATTTACCTTATTAAATTAACTGTCTCTAAGTATATTTTTTGATGTTATCAAAAAAATGGAAGAAACCATAGATTCTACATTCTTATATATACTTATTGTGTTTGGCCAGTGGTATCAATGTGAAAATGACCACATGTTGATTTGAGTATTCATTTGAGTTTAAATCCAATAAAATAATATTTACTTTTGATATCAATAATGATAAGAAAAATCGAAAGATCGATCAAGTAAAAGAAATCGAATCCTCGATTCTTTTAATTTGATCGCTGAATTTGAAGATTACATAAAGAGAATTCATTGAAAAAGAGTCAGATCATATGTCAATTTTTAGAGTTGTCAGGATACATGAAATAATCATGCCTTTCATATCCAACAAAATGCGTGCAGTATTCATAACAGAAATTAATCTGATTTTGCATAAATATGTTATTCAAGAATAATTTTTTTGATCTCATTGCAATAATGAAACACGACATAGACAAATAATAATCGATGAAGAAATTGTTTTTGGTTTTTTGGTTTGTTGAATTTTCGGTCATATTTATTTGAACATCATCGAAACATATATAATGAAATAATTGAAAAAATCTGTATCACCACCAACACTACCAGGATGTAAACCACAGTGAGCAATGATTACTGAACTTATAAAAAAATAGTTCATGTAAAATGCGCAATGCAGTACCTATTGAACATGATGATTTTTTTCTCTATTTAAATATTCAATTAATTATTTTACATGAACTAGTATCAGTTCAATAATTGTTGCTTACGGTGGTTTACACATTCTGGTAGTGTTGATGGTGATACAAGTTGTTTCAATTATTTTATTATATATGTTTCGATGATATTCAAATAAATATGACCGAAAAATTTAACAAAACAAGAAAACAAAAACAATTTCTTCATGGATGATTATTCATCTATGTCGTTTTTCATTATTGCAGTGAAACTAAAAAAAAATTATTCTTGAATAATATATTCATTTATTCAATATACAATTAATTTCTGCTATTAATGCTGCACTCCTGTTATATGAAATTCATTAAAAATCTATGCTTTATTTCAGTAGAATAATCGTGCCTTTCTGAGTAAATCACAATTATTAGAGTGTGGAGTGTGGGTATTGATCATTTAGAAACCAACATTCACACCCTATCCAGGTGATCATGAAAGGGAATTCTGACATTATCACTTATCACTACAATCAAGAAGAGGGTTTAAAACGACCAAAAGAGTAATCATGTGATCTGGACCTGCTCTCAGGACCGACGATTGGGGGTGTAAGAAAGTATGCTCGAGAAAGTTTCGTAAAGATAGTGTGACATCTACGAAACACTTCAAACCTTTCGCTGGAAAACATTGAAAATTTTCTATTATTGGCGAAATGTGCACTCTTCCGGACCTCCCGCTCGCACGGGCCTCCATGCAACTTCTGAGTAGCACTTTATTGGTGCCGTGTGCTATGGGTTAAGCATTTCTGAGCGTAGTTGGTAGATATTATCAAGGAGAAGAAAAAAGAATCGTTGCAAAGTGAAAATCTTGATTACCGTTTTAAATCGATGCATATTTTATCTCATAAGGACCGAGAAAAGGATGATATCTATCTCTTAGAAAGTTCACCTTGCTTTCTAATATAAGTGAATCAACATTCTGACAATTAAAATTCATTTTGGTTAACTTTAATGTCTATAATATGATATATCACTCTTACATTTTATTTTTTAAGAAGTTTTTTAAAATACTTGTTTCATATTATGAAGTAGAATTTCATAAAAATAAAGTGTGATATTAATTAATGACATCAATATGCCATCTTTTGTTTCACTAGTCGTACTAAATTCATCAATGCTTTCTGAAAAACACTTCCACCAGCTAATACATAAATATAAAATGGCATTGCACTTGCCATAAAAGCTAGAAGTACGTCAATGTTATAAAGAAAAGTTTTGATAGCATCTTCTAATACAGATCCAGAACCAAATGGTTTAAATGTAATGTAAAATTTTTGAATAGCTTGTGGAATATATAATACTATTAGTAACAATACTTGTAATGTAAGCATACGAAGTAAATGATGATCAGTTTTTTTTGAATGCAGATTTGCATGTCCAATTGGATCAATAGTTCCTAAATTATTTCCTGCATGGGCTACACGAGTGTGAAGACGATGTATATGTGAAATAGTTAATAGACCAAATATAATCATTAATACCAATGGCATTACTAATGATAGTATTACATAAATTAGATCCGTAACAAGATGGCATCCTTCTGTTTTTTCATAACATTTCAATGGTGCATCAATATTATTGGCTTCATAACAAGGAAACATATGAATATAAAAAAGAATCGATAGAATCACAATGGTAAATATTTCTCGTTTAACATTTTTCAAATTACTCATGTGTCGACGATGAATATCAATAGATGATATTAACCATCGATCAATTGTAGCTAATGCAATCAACCAGATTGCCATTGTTCTTGTACTAAATACAATAAAAGCACGAGTTTTACATGCCCAATTAATTGTATTTGTTGGATCAAGGTGCCAACCAGCCAATATTCGAGTAGGTAAACCAATTAGAATTGAAATAAGATCAATAAATGATGAAGCAAGAAAAAGAAATGCACATGGATTTGACCGAAGTGTTCTTTGAGATAAAACTAAACAATTCATAATATTTCCCACGGTGCCAGAAAGAAATATAATAGGTGCTAAATATTTATTGAGTTGGTCCGAGATAAAATCTAATGATTCAATAGATTTATTATTCATTGTAAAAGTTCTTGTTGAAGACCAAATATAAAATCAAAGAGGATGTTAAAAAAGAAAATTGAATAAAAATCTAAAATGTTTTCAAGTGAATAAAAAGAGTAATGACAAGAAAAATATTATAATCCGACTTGATTATATTAATGACTCTCTGATAATATATAGTTCTAAATTCAGCTCTAAAGAAAGTCATCAGCATTTTCTCAAGTTGAAAGTAATCGAATTTGCAATGATAAATACCATGCATAAAAATTAAGACTTTTTTCTCTAAGCAGTAAATATGTAATAATAGTAATCTTCATGATACGAGAATCACATATTTACCTTAAAAGCTTAAAAGAAGAATGAGAAACTCAGTATCGTTGTATATATAGGTTAATACGAAATTCATGATAATGTTTAAATTGGTTTTCTGTTTCAAAAGACCGAAAGGAGCTTATTGAAGTAAAAAAAACTTATGTCACTTAATAGAAGCACTAAAATAGCTTCTTATTTTCTTCAGCATGTATTCATGTTAGTCATGAATTGTTTATTAGTTTCAATTATGTTCGTTGAAGAGAAAGTTTATGTTGAAAGCAAACTTCATTCAAATTGAAGAAAAGCTTTTAGCACACTCATATAATTTAGATGAAGAGGCAAGACTATTTACATACTGCGCATTCATACATTTTAAATGAAGACGCAAGACTATTTACATCCTACGCACCGATTAAAATTACATTGTGATGTTATATTGAACATCTAAAGGAAGAAGAAATTCGAAATATACTCATTGCCTATTTTTAGAAATTCATCTCATTTATTGAAGATAGATTTTAAGCTGCAAATTAAACAAATGTTGTGAAAAAAAAAACTATTTCAAAGATTGTGAATACAATGAGAAATACTTATTTTTGTTCGAGGGCTGAACCATTTCTCCCTCTCAAAGAGAAATTGTTCCACTTCGAGCAGAAATGCTTAAACCACATAAAGTCAGAAGGAAATGCTTTTTTCAACAAGAATACTTTCATCTTAAGGCATGTTTCTACTGGAGACGGATTTTTTCTATTAGAAATGGTTAATTTTTGAGCAGAAATGCTTCATCCATATCCCCGTTCATAAGCAGAAGTCGAAAAGAGATAGAGAGAAATGGATGATTTTATTTTTTCATCTTAAGGGATGTTTCTACCAGAAATGGATTTTTTCTATTAGAAATGGTTAATTTTTGAGCAGAAATGCTTCATCCATATCCCCATTCATAAGCAGAAGTTGAAAGCAGATAGAGAGAAAGGGTTTTTTGGCATATTAACGGATGCTTCAAGTAGATGTGGTTTTTTCTCATTAGAAATGCTAATTTTTGGAGAAGAGTTGGTTCACTATGAAATTGTGTAAGTTGCATGGTGGTAGAAATTGTGAAACACGGTGGACATAAGTGCAAGAACATGTTGGATCTATGTCATTTATAATAGCGAACACTATGGCATGTGCATGAAGTTGGTAGTATTATGTAAAATGCCGAATATAATGTGCTAAATTTTGAGAAATGCACATTTCTGTTTTTAGTTGTAGCATACAGGTCACTTCGAGATTGCTGCGAAGTCGTTCGTTGGATTCATAGCGTTCACTAAAATATTCGATCTAGAAAATAGAATTTCATCAGAATATGAAAAAATAATTATGCAGAGAATGTTCGGCTAAATGGAAATTCAATCGTATTGTTTCTGTTTGAATTGAGAATGATTACGTGAAAGTTGCATGTTAAGTTAGACAGAGTAAATGAACAGGGGTAATTATTCGTTATCATTCGAAGGTAGATGCGATAAATAATGTCCTTCTCGATTATCCAACGGAAAATTAACAACTAAACAACATTTATTTACTTGAA